CCATGCGGCTGGACAGGACCTCTGGGGACAGAGCACGCCGTCACCACCTGGCCCTGCCCACCCAGTCCCATGGCCCAGCTTCCCTGGGAGCCCCACAGGTGTCTCCCGGGTGTCCCTTCTGACCTCGGGACTCCCCAGGGGCCCCTCACTGCCAGGGGCTGCCCAGACATCTGACTCCCCAGCCCCTTCCCCAGACACGCCCTGGCCCCTCTTCTATAATCAGTTTACCAAAAGCCAGGGTCCTCCCGGCCCCCTGCCCCAGCTTTCCTGACACTACCCCACCCTGCAGGTGCTTGGGACCCTGGGGAGCGGGACCCCAACCAGGCAACGGTGATTCTAAGTGTGGGTGCCATGTGCACCCCACCATCTGGGAGTCCCACACCCAGGCCAAAGAGGCCCAGGGAAGGCTTCCTAGAGGAAGGGCCCCAACCCCGTGTGATTTAACGAACCAGCAGAGGTGAGGCATGCCAGGCTGGGGGCAGCACAGGCCCGGACAAGAGGAACTGCCAGGTGGGATGGAGTCCAGCCCAAGAGACCAGTGTGGGGGAGACGAGTCGAGAGGGACCTGACCACAGAGACCTTTGGGGGCGAGCTGGGTGTCAAAGCCAGGGGAGGGTCTCAGCGGGGTGAGGGTGAGACAGCTGGAGCAGTGGGCCGAGAGGCCTGGGGAGGGCCGGGGTCTCTGTCAAGGCGGTTGTGGGAGAGACAACTCCTAGGAGGGGGCGAGCGGGACCCAAGAAAAGAAACCACCCCCAATTTGGCGACTGAGCAGATGCCACGCGTGTGGGACAGGAAGGTCAGAGGTGACTCCTGAGGTGGGGAGGGGGCAAGATGTGCCGCGTGCACATGGGCAGTGGCGGCAGTGCAGTGTGGGCTGGGGGCACTGTGGGACAGTCTCAGGGAGGCTGTGTCCAGGAGGTAGCTGGGAACATCGGAGGGCCAGACACAGCCCAGGAGCTGCTGGGAGACCAGAGGCAGTGACTGCAGCCCCAGGACGGGTAGAGGGAGAGGAAAGGAAGAACTGGGCTCTGAGGCCGTGTCCTTAGAAGCCCCACATCCAGCCTGGCTCCTGGCCTGGCCCCCAGAGTCCTGAGCAGAAGGGGCTGCCCATCAGTGCCTGGCATCTGCCCGGAGCCTCCCTCTCACCCGGGGCAGGCAGCTCTGCCCCAGCCCCCAGCAGTCCCTGCACGCCCTTCGCGGCCCTGAAGGCTCAATGTCCCCATAGGACCCAGGAGACCAGCCTGGCCCAAGATTCTGATGTAGAAACAGTATTTTTAGCAAAGCCCAGTGTTGGGGGGCTCCTCAGCACCCTGGCCAGCTTTGTCTGGAGACTTCCTCTGGATTCTAGCTGCGAGGCAGGGTCAGGGAGTGTCATCCTGTTCAAAGCACAGGCTTTGAGCCCCATGCTTGGGCTGAGAGATCCCAGGCAAGTTCCTTAATCTCACCAAGCCTCAGTTTCCTCATCTGTGAAATGGGACATGGCGATACCCTTCTTTGCAGGGCTCTGTGAGACTGAGTGACACGGGGTGTGTTCAGTGCTGAGAACTGTGCTCCGCACACAGGCGCCGTTTTGACTGCAGAAATGCCGCCACCCCCCCCACCCCACCCCCGCTTCCACCCTGCCATCTTTCCTCCCTGTGTCCTCTGGCCCCACTGCTTCTCCACTTCTCTACACCTCAGCTAGGTTTTAGGCAGAAGTTCCCTGGGCTCTGATGGCCTTGGTGAAGGTTTCCTGGGAGTCTTGTTAAAAGAGGCAGCAGGGCCCCCTGTCCCCAGCCCCAGCCCCGGCTCACCCTGGCCCAGCCGCTGGGAGTTCTGCTGCTCCTGCTGCTGCTGGTGCCGCCGGGCCAGCTTCTTCATCTGCAGGGAGAGCATAGTTCAGGCCGGACCCCTCCCTGCCCCACCCACATGTGGACCCCCGTCTTCCGCCTGCCCTTTGTCGGGGGCCAGCAGTGCCTGGAGGTGGCCACTCACCTTTGCTCTTTGGTTCTGAAACCAGACCTGGACCACGCGCACGCTGAGGCCCGTCTCAGCTGCCAGCGTCTCCCGGACCTGGCCCAGAGAGAGGAGACAGGTCAGGCCTGCAGGGGCAGCGGCTGGGAATCGGCAGGGTTTGGGGGGCGGGGCAGATGGGGGAGGTGGAGGGATGTCCTGCCCCCAGCAAGCGCAGAGTGGGCAGGATCCGAGAAGGCAGCGGGTGTGGGGTGTCCGCCCCAGCCGCCCCTCACCTTCCGGCAGGGCTTGGAGGAAACCTCAAAGGAGGCCTTGAAGGCTCTTCGCTGCTGCGTGGTGAGGATGGTCCGGGGTCGCTTGGGCCTCCGCGGGTCCTTCCCGTCATCCCCGCTGCCCTTGCTCTGGCTGCCTTGCCCCTTGGCCGGCTTCATGTCCCCGTCCTCGTCCTCGCTCTTCACTGTGGGGGACGCAACCGAGCCTATCAGTGAGGGCTGAGGGGTGGCCCAGGCCCCAGACTTGTGCCCTCATGCCACCTGCTGCCCGATGGCCCCCGTGCCCTCTGCCGACACCGACATGGCCCCCCAGTGCCCTCGGGATCACGTCTACCTCCCTGCCCTGGCCCCTCATCTCCCGCCCCCGTGCCCTGCGTGTCCTTTCCCCAGCACACGGTCCCCACACAGGTGGACCTGCAGAGTGAACACAGCACGCTGCGGACCACAGACGTGCACACGCACACGTGCAGCTGCACGCTTAGGTGCACACAAACACAAGACGGCTTTGATGCAGGCCCACGTGGGAAACAGGTACACAGGTGCACACGCAGGGTTGTGCACGTGCCTGTGTGTGATACACACAGAAGTGTGCTCGGGTCTACGTGTGATCACACCTGAGGGCAGATCTGCTTGCCTCTTAGGGCCAACAGACCCCGAAAGAGAAAGGCTGGCATCTGTGGACTGTTCTGGCCCTGGGCTTCCCGGACCCATCTGGTCTGGGACCCTGCCTTGTCCCACTGACCTCTAGTCCCTTGGAGACCCAGCCCAGCATGTCAGCCTCCAAGAGAACTTGTTCCCACTGCACCAGCCCAGTGCCAGCCAGGTGTGAGTGCCTCAGGGGAGACCGCAGGGAGTTTCTCTCTTGAAGCTTCCAGGGGTGAAGGATCGACAGGCAAAGACACATGCACCGACATCCTCACGCGACAGTGAGCACGGCGTGCAGGTGTGCACGCACACAGGTGCACTCGCCCCGGCACACACACATGCAGACCGGCACGTGGGCCCGCAAAGGCCCAGGCACATGCAGCTCACAGGCGTACGCGCACACAGGCCCATGCTTGCGGGCAGGACGTGCAAGCGTGCCCGCACCTGAACAGGCACATGCACGGCACTCAGAAGCGTGTGCTTTCACCCAGTGACACACCCCGGAGTTTGGGTCTCAGAAATGCCACCCCAGATGGATGGCCAAGCCTCCCACCCACCGCTGGGCTTCCTGTTGCCCTCGTCTGGACTGGTCCCCTTCCTCCAGCCCTGTCTTCCTCAGAGCACGAGCCCCCGGGGAGGGGGCCGCTCTCCTAGGCTAGGTATGAAGGGACCATGGCACCTGGCAGGCTCTGCTCTTCCCCAGGAGTCCAGGCAGCCATGGGACCAGCCACGGTGCTGCCCTGCCCTGCCCAGGGACAGCAGGGACAGATGGATTGCTCACTGCCTCCACCAAGGGCCCTGGCAGTGACAGACCCTTCCCGTGTGGGCAGATCCTGTTACTGTGGGGCTCTGGGTTACACAAAGGGCCTGGCAGGCCAGGACATCTCCTCTCCACGCTCCCTGCTCAAGTCCATCCCCACTATTCCCGGGAATGACAAGGGCCGAGGCCACCTCCAGGCCTTTCCTCCTTCAGACTCATTCCTGGCTGGCCTTGCCCTTCCTGCCAGGAGGGCTCCAAACTGGCATAGTCCTTTTGGGGTCTGGAACAGAGTAGAGAGGTGCCTTCACCCTGGGAAATGGGGTCTTCCGCCTACCCGAAAGGGCCCCAGTGCCCCCAGCTGGGAAACAGGGAATAGCTCAGGGCTGTCTGCTCCCCACTGCAGGGGGCTCTGGGGGTCGAGGAAGGGAGGACACATCAGATCCCTGCCTCCCAAGAGGCCCCTAGCCTGCAGCCCTGGTGTGGTGCTGGGCCACAGTGCTGTGCCACGGTGGGGGCCACATCAGGGAGGGTGTGGGTGGTGGGCCAGAGAACAAGGCGGGTGTGCATGTATACGTGCAAGCACGGCATGTGCGTGTGCAGCCATGTGTATAGCGCTTAGTGTTTGAGTATGCTGGGTCATGCATGTGTGTGTTTACCTGGGTGTGGCTTTGCTTGCTTGGTTATGTGAGCACGTCTCTACATATATGTGAGTATATATATATATGCTCCTGGGTATGGGTATCCCACGTGTACTTTACGTGCGTGTGTGTACACGTGTGACCACATGCATGTCGACACGTACAGATACATGTGCCTTAGCATAGGGAGCACAGGTGCATTTTGCGTGCTTGGGAGGTATGCACATTAGCGTCCACGTGCACACATGCACATGGACGTGCGAGCGCCGTCTGTGTGCGGCTCGGAGGCCCCTCCCTGAGGCCGGCCCCCCGCTCGGGCCAGAGCTCACCGGAGTCGGACTCGTCGGGGCTCACGGAGCTGAGCAGGTCCTTCTCCTTCTCGTAGTCGCCCTTGCACAGCAGCTGGCCCTCCTTGAGCACAAACTCGTCGCCCTTGCGGAGCTGCCGCTCACACACGCAGCAGCAGAAGCAGCCCAGGTGGTACACGCACTCCAGCGCCCGCATCACGAACTCGGTGGGGGCGATCTTCTCCATGCAGCCGCTGCACTTGGCTGCGAAGAGCCTGCAGGTGCACAAAGGGGGCGTTGGCTGGGCTCGGAGGTCCCTCCCAGGGGCCACCGACGCTGAGGGCCCCTCCCTCCTCCCTGACCCTCAGGCCCAAGTGGGAGAGGCTCTTCCCGGGCCGAGCCCACACAGCGGGAGGCCCTGCAGCAGGGTGGGCGCCCGGCATCCTGTGAGAGGTGCCTCTCCCGGGTGTGGCAGCTCAGGGCCCTTCCCGCTCAGGGACAAGGTGGCCACTAGAGGGCAGTGTGCAGGGTCCGCCTCAACCTTCCCCGAGGCCAGGACGGCCCCTGTCCTGAGAGAGTCCCCTCCACCCTCACTCCTGACCAGCTCTGCCTCCTCCCTGATCCTCCCTCACCTCCACATCCAAGCAATTCCTTGTCCAACCCCCCACCCGGCCTGGGCCCCTCCTCTCCAGCCTGAGCAGCCACCAGTCCCCTCCGTGCGTTCCTGACCCCTGCGGCCCTTCAACAACCCGCACCCCACCACACACACAGGAGCCAGAGGGATCTTTCCAAAACACTTCATGCTGATCATGCTGCTTCCCTGCTCCAGACTCTTCAATGGCTCCCTAGTGCCTCTAGGGGAACATCCAAGATCCTGAGCCTGGCACTCAAGGCCTGTCATGATCCTGCCTCTTCCCTCACCACCCCTTGCTTCCCCGGGCTGTGGCCCACAGAGCAGCCTGTGGCTGCTCCAAAGCACCATCATGGCAGCCTTTTGACGTGTTCTTTCTCTGTCCCTTGGCTTGGGTGATGCCTCCATTTCAGCTTCCGCACCTCCGTCATGAAGAGGTATTTACTGCACACGTACAGCACGGCAGGTGCCGCACTAAGCACCTTACATGCAGAAATGCATTTAATCCTTGCAACAAGAGATAAGAACGAATATCAACCCCATTTTAGAGATAAGGAAATTGAGGTGTTGGGAGGCAGCGTCACTTGTTCAGGGTCACGTGAGTAGCAAATGCTGCAGCCAACTCCCAGCCCGGGCCTGGTCCAGTCCCTCTGTGACAAAGGTGCTCCATCTCCCATCTCCGCAGAGCAGCACGGGCGGGCGTGTCCGGGCCCCGGCCGGCACGTGCAGGAGGGTCTGGGCAGCCCGGCCCCTCCTCTGCCCGCACCGCTGACCGCTGCTCCCAGCACCCCCACCCCATCACGTGCCCTGCTCTGTGGGAACTCAGCCTCAACAACACTTTGATGGAGAAATTTATGAAGAATCAAATTATTGCTGCTGGGAGGGAATTAAAACCATTTTTCATTCCTCGCGTCCCCGGGCCACGTCTGCAGGCGCCACCTTGGGAGCGCTGTGCACATCCCATCCCTCTTTATGGCCCGCCATCGCGGGCACAGATTACAGCTGCAATTCTCTTCTAATCGGTTCTGGAACAGAAATGGCCATAAACGGAGGCACTCGCCTGCCTCCCTTCCCGGGGCTGCCGTCAGCACCGCCCACGGCGAGCTGGTGGGGCGGGTGGACAGGGCCAATTCCAGCTCTGCCTTCTGTCCTGGCACTAGCCAGGGCACTCAGCTGGAGGGCACCCCTAGCGACCACTGCCACCCACCTCTATTCTACCCAGCAGGCTCCTACTCATCCTGCAATGCCCAACTCCAATGCCACCTCCCCTGGGAAGCCTTCTGTGATGCCCCAGTCTAGGGGACGTGCCCTCCTCTATGCTCCCCTGAGCTTCCCTCTGGCCTCAGTTTTCTCTGCTGTAAAATGGGGATGTCAACAAGACCTCCCTTGAAGGCTGTTGTCAGGATTCAATGATATCGAGTATGTAACTTGGTGAATAGCACAGCGGAGTGACGGTGCATGTCCCCATCAGTGCCCAACTCTACTGGGGTTCCACAGGGCAGGACCTGGCTCTATCTGACCCTCAAGGAGGCCTCAGTGTTTGCAGAGCGAGTGAAGCCCTGGCGAGCTGAGGCTGAGGCCAGGTTCTCTGCCCCAGGAGGCAGGACCCCACTAGCCCACAAAGTGCACGGCTTTCCGAGGGGAACATGGGCTGGATTTCGGCTCTAATTTGGCTTTTTGGCCTGATATCCTTGTTTGGGGTACAACCTACCCAACTGTCCATGCAGTCTTAGGCGAAGGCCTCTAGAAATCTGGCTGGCACTCCAGCTCTACCGAGGGGCTGGGAAAGAAGTGGTTTGCAGAACCCGTGCCTGTCACGTGTAGGATGCTGCCACGCCCCACCACCACACTGCCCCTCTGCGTCCTCCCTACACTGCCTGCCCTAGGGGCCCCACTAAGGTGTGCAGCCTGCCCTCTGTGGCCCGTGAGCGGACAGGCACTGGCTGTGTCTCTGCCAGCACAGCAGGGCCAGGGTCCTAGGCCAGGGTCAGCACACATTGGGCGGCTCCCAGAGAGACCTTCTTAGGCTGTGGAGGGGGACAGCAGGGTTGGTGACCTGCATTTGCAGTCGATGCCACCATGCTGGCTGCATTCAGAACAGCCGCGCTAATGCCTTGGCAGCAGGGGGTCGATTGCTACTTTCTCCAAACTCATCAACACAATCTATTATTAATACTTCTCCAAAGGCTCGGTGCCGCCATTACGGAGGCAGCGCCAGCCACTCGGGGCATCATCTGTTATCTAGATTGCAAAAACTCGGGAAATAAAACAAACCGCGTGCACTTTATAAATGGAGTGCGCCATCCGTTTGGTCTCCAAGCATCTCTCCACCCAATAAAACATCGGGGGGGACGCATGAAATACTCGCTCCCGATTATGGGGCTGCCTTTGTCTACCATGCCGGGGTGAGAGCTACTAACGGCAGGTGTGGGAGGGGTTGGGGGGTGCCAGCGGGGTCCCCTCTTCTCTGTGAGCCCCCATTCCCTCCCTCGGTGCCTCTCACCATGGAGGGATTGGTGGGGGCAGACCCTGAGAAGCCCCTGAGAAGCAGGCCCAGCCACAGGCAGGGACACTGGAATCGGACGGACCTGGGTTCCCTGCCTCAGTCCACCACTTGCTGGCTGGTGACTGGGCAGGTGATTTCGTCTTCCCAAGCCTCAGCTTACTTACCTGTATAATGGGCTCGACAACACTGCCTGCTTCTCAGCATGAGGATGCAGTGGGTTGTCAGAGTAAACCAGCAGGCACAGAGGGCACAGCCCAGAATTCCATCCTGGCTCCCTAACTTTCTCACTGTGTGACTCTGGGCAAGACATTTAACCTCTCTGGGCCTCAAATTCTTCCTCTATAAAGTGGGAATGACCGTACCTGACCACGGGGTCATTGGGAGGGTTGACTGCATATAAAGCCCTCGGCTCTGGGCTGGCCTCAGGAAGGCACTCCACGAAAGTCTGCCCTTCTCTGCCCTCTTTTGTCCCACATGTGTCCCAAGTGCCCTGTCGATCACCCTTGCTAGGGTCACCACGATTCCAGCGGGCACCTCCCTGGCACTGGCTGGGTTGACAGGTCCCAGCTGCACCTCCCGGTCACCACCACCCTGGGTTTGGGGCTGGCCCTTCCGCTTCTGCCTGGCTTGATCTGGACGGAGCACGCCTGGTTCAACGTTCTATCTATCTCGTTAATATTACTGAGACCGAGAATACTCAGTCACCTCCTCGCATCGCCTTGTGAAATACTCACAGAGCCCTGTTTCCGCGCCCATTTTACAGATGAACACACTGAGGTTTGAGGTCACGCAGCAGTAGCAGCAGGTACTCCGCCCTGCTCCGTGCCTCCCAGCGTGCCTTCACTCACCAGTCACCCCCGCTCTTCACTCTGGGCGCCGTGCCCTTGTCTGCCGGCCCCCAAGGCTGTGGCCCGATTCACCCCAAGTTCTTATTACTAGGCATGAGCTCGGCCCCCGGAAGGAGGCTGTGCATTTGTTTTTTTTTTTTTAAACCAAACTTAATACCCCCCTCCCACACACACACACACATTTTTTTCCTGTTGGGATCATCTGTGATTATGGAGGAGCAAATTCTATTTTTAGGGGGATCCCTCCCTTGAAGAGTCCCAGGCTGTGAGAACACATCTCCATCTCCTCTGAATTTTTATTGGTTTATTTGTTTAATGCTCAATTTATTAAACTCATAAGGCTAATAAACAAAACTCGGAAAACTAATTTTGTCGGGAGCATTTGAACATGGATTACAAAGCTGATTAACTTCTCTGAAACACTGAGAACTGCAGAGACACATGGAGCACGGCTGATTCTTTTCCCTCCAATAAAATTGGCTTCCTAATGTTCTGGGGCCGCTCCAGCCTCTCCAAGCAGGTCTTCACTGCCAGATCTCAGAGTCCATGCAGCAGGCCCCGGGCTCGGCATCCTGGCTCCACCACTTCCTACCACTGGAATCTCACACAAGTCCCTTCTCCTCTTGAGTGACAGTGTCCTCATCTGTCCAATGGGGATAGTGACAGAAACTGACTTACAGTGCCATGCATGTGAGATGGGCTCAGTAAGAGGTAATCATGACCACTGTCATCTCTCTAGGACTTCTGGCACCTGTTCCCCATCCTCAGAGTGGAAGATCCTCTACCTCCTCCTCACTGCCATTCCCACACCCCACCACCGCACTTAACAGTTTATGTGGCCCTTCACTGGGTTCTCAGAAGAGTTCCCACCCCATGTACGTGCTTTCTACTCTCAGGCGGCCTCCTCTGCCCCTTGAGACCACCCTAGTCATCCCCTCCCTCACCAGCCTCCTCTACACATCTCCAGCTTCCTGACCGCCGCACCAGTCCTATTCAGTGGACACTGTCACCTCCCATTTCACAGAGAAAACAGAAGGTATGGGAGAAACACCCAAAGTTCTGACTTATCTCCTCATCAGGTCAAATCAGATTACATATCCCTTTGCTTCAGAATGTCCAAGAGCACCCAGCAATTTCAGCATAAGCCCAAAGACCTCATAGTGACACCCAAGGCCCCACCTATCCTGTCACACCTGGGTCTAGCAGCCAGGCTTCTTGCTGCTCCCTGAACACAGCAAGCTCCTTCTTGTCTCCTTAGCACTTAAAATTCCAACTGCTTCCAAGGCTTAT